GGCAAGTTTGCGGCTCTGCCCCGGACCTTCCGTTTGCTTCTCTGGCTTTGTGGGAATTCCGTCCACACTACCCCAATTCCGACCCGCAAAGACCGGTTTTATCGCTAATCCCCTCGTCAGAGGTGGTGTAAAGAAACCGGTTTAAAGGACCCTTTAAGTCGAAAGAAAGGGCTTCGTTGTGTGGACGTGTCCAGGCTTAATTCGGTTTAACGCCGCTAAAGTCGACCTAAACCCGTAGTGTAGACCAGGCCCCAGTTGAAGAAATACTTACACTCCCAGTTGAAGAAATAGCCTCTAGAGAATACCTTAATGTAATAATAGAGGCAGAGTTTGCAGTCACTTAAGAACCAGACTTAGTCTATACAGGGAATAGTATCACTGGACCAAAGGCACTAAAATGACACTGCCCTAAGAAAACCCACCACAATACAGTGTGATTGTATAAGTTCTAACAGTAAAAATGCTGACTGAGCTCAAAGGTGTGAAATTGTATAGAACAAGAGACCAGACCCTCAAACAACCAATAAACCTGTAAACAAATTCCAAACTATGAGGTAAACAACAATTTCTTTATTGTGGTCTGCCACAGGAATCCACTCACTCACCATGGGTGGTGCCTCCTCATGGCTGTTCTGGGGATTAGCTCTCTTCCAGGTCCCACCCTCCTCACCCCCCGCATTCTCTCCCACTGGCCTCTCTCACTCCAGAAGCTGCAGCTTCCTCTTCGTAACTCAATCCTCTGGCCAGGTCACTAAGTGGTTTCCCCTTCCGGGGCAGAGTCTCACTGGACCCACTGTCCAGGCAATGCAACATAGTCAGTGACTGGTAGGGGAACTCAGGCTCACCCATCACCCAAGTTCCAGCCTGGGGACCCTACAACAGACAGCCAAAGTCTGTTGAGTCCCTAACGCTGCTGGCTTTTCCCCTGGCTGCTTCCTACTTCACTTCCCACTTACTTTCTTCTGCAACCTTCTCTATTCTGGGTATGTCCTTCCCTCAGAGCCAGGCACCCCGGGGTCCTGCTCTTTCCCTTAGTGCCATCCTTCCCTCTCTAATGCACAAAGTGGCTGCAGACTTCCTCACTGCAACCCTTTCTGGTGCCAGCTTCCTGGCTTTATGCTAATCCAGCCTCAGATGAGCTCCATCTTCCAGTCAGATCTTGCTTCGCCAGCCTAAATCCCTCATGTGTGGCCTATCTCACTAATTGGCCCTTTTCTCAGCTTTCTTAACCCTTTTGGGGATGGTGAACACCCCTCACACGGTCCTGATAAAACTGAAGGGAGAAAATTATAAATAGCACATGGAACACCTAGATTGTAAAAGAGTATCAGACACTATATCGGATAGCCCCAATCTCTCTAAATTTAAACTTTCACAAGCAAAATCATTATGGGAAGAGCTGCCATGTCAGAATGCAGAAAGGAACCCTTTGGCATGCAAAACAAAAGGAGATGGTCAGCAGCTGATAGCTGCAACAGATCTGTAAACCAAGCTCATCCAAAGAGTTTTGTGCTGGATCTTGTTGTGACCAGTTCATTGCTAGACAACCTCACTTTTGAATTATAAGGTTAAATGCAGAAGGTAGGGGTGCAGGGTCCATTGCTTTTGATGAGGCAAGAACTAAGGTTTGTGTGTAAGTAAGCACTGCTTTGATTTAAAGAGCACTGAAAAAACTGAAGTGCCAGCTTACTAACCTGAGCTACACACTGTTTATGTGGAGTTCTCTTTTGGACTATGTACAGTTTGCTTGAGTCCTGTGACTCCAGATGAGCTCCCCATCCTGTGAGATGGAGACTGACATTCAGGGTTAGGATTAAACCAATCCAGCTCATGGAGAATTACTACCTCCATTAAGTTTTTTTCCTGGAGAAGATTGGTAATGGAAAAAAGATACTTTTGCTTTTAGATATAGAAGAGATTAGGAGTGACTGAAAAGCATTACCATATTAAGGCTGTTGGTTGTCTCAGTCCATATCACAAGAAACATCACCAAGACTGGCACTCTCGAGGACATTCTTAAGATAGACCAAGGACTGACTAGGTGCAGACAGTGAAGCACTGATGAGAGTAGTGATACTTGGCATTTATATAGCACTTGGAATCTTCAAATTCTGTACAAACATATGTCAGCTAATCCACCCTCACATAATAGAAGTGGTCCCCTCCAGAGTAAAACTGAGGTACCTAGGTAGAACCTACAGTACATATACAAGAGACACATTTATAAATTCATTTCAGTTTTAGAGATATTATGGGTTCTAGAATTTGAAGAATACAGAATATAACAGCAACTAGAATGAAATTTTCAAGTGCATTCACTATAAACAGAGGTCTTCAGTCTCCGTGGCTGTCAGTTTGGTACCTGAACAAACACAAGAACTACATTCATGCACTACTGGCTTGCTGCCTAGACCGGAAAATTGAGAAATAATTTTATTGTGGGTCAAAAGAAACATTTGATTCAACCCAAAATAAAAAAAATTGGACTTCAATTTTATTTAAAAAATATTAAGAAAAGTTAAAGTAAATTTTGAAACAAAGAGTCATTTAGAAAATGTCAAAACAAGGAGTTTTTCTGTTTCGGGAATTTTGTTTGTTTTTTCTTCCTGTCAGAGTGAAACAATTCAGCAAATTCAACACAAATGTGTGACATGTTTCAGTTGACCCAAATCTGCATTTTGTAGTAGTCTGGTTTATAGGAGACAATGGGGGCATCAAGTTCCCAAACCACAACTCCCCTGAGGCAATGTGCCAAAATGGGAACATGCAGTTTAATGTTGAACTGACTGGAAATTAAGCATTTGGGGTCATTTCAACAAACCAGACCAAAATGTTTTGACTTTGGGAATGTTGAAATGTTTAATTTTGATCAAAAATGTTGAAACAATTGATCAAAACAGAACAGAAATGTGACACCTGAATTGAAAATCTTTTTGAATTTCTGTTCCATGAAAAATATCGAAACTTTTCATTCTGATTTAGAATGAAAACAAAAATGTTGACATGTCAGAATTTTCCACAGTATGAAAATTCTGAATTTTGCTCAATACTTGATTTTTTTGAACTGAAGGAAATCTTGAGATATATCTTGAAAGATCCTTTTTTAGCTCAGGACTCCAGAAATTCTTGAGACATATCTTGAAAGATGAAGCCTGAAAAGCTGACAAAGTGCTTTCACCCAGTCACATATGGTACACTACTTAAATATTAGTGGAGATAGAAATAATATATATTGAAACATCTAAATGCACTGGGAAGTTCAGAGAGGCACACTACTAGCAGTGCTTCTGCAGAGGGAAAGCAGTACTGGTGATTAGAAACCTGGAAAAAAGAAGGCATCAAAAACCCTGATTGTTGCTGCTTGCCTGTCAATGGAGAAGCACAGATTGGAGATCTCTAAGAGTGAAGAGCGTATTATGTATTATATTTTTTCATAAGAGAATTAGTAGATGTTCTAAAAAGGGGCAGCTTTAAATATACAAGAACATCAGTGAAAGTGTGTGTAGGATACCTGTGCAAAATAGGAACTTGCAATCTCACTTTTGCCACTGATCTATATAGCTTCTTGGAAACAGTACAGAATAGCTACTTTTCTGATGATGGCATTGTATATTTAATCATAAATAATCTGAATCATTAATGACTATATCTTCAATCATTTTATAACAGAGAATGGAAACATTAGTAATGACACTTCCAATATAACTAAACATTTTCAAATTGTTCATTTCCTAAGGATAGGTCTGTTTAAGGAAAGTAGCTGACAAAGCACAATTCCAATTTACTTCATGGTTGGTATAATACAGAATATTATAAAATTTAATCGATGGGATTTAATATCATGTCTCCCTTTAGCTTTCATGGAAACTAGGCCGCTAAATCCCTATTCACCTCATACAAAATGTGTCCCCACATACTTATTCATACTTTTCCAGCTATGTGTAAAAGTGGTGCAATTCCCTCTTCAGTGAAGGCTGCAGAATGTATTTAGACTGCTGTTGAAAAAAATACTACAGAATGTCTCACAAATAAGAAAACAGGTAGTGGCAAACAGTCGATCATTCTCCTCAGCACTAATGTAAAAGGAATGCTGCATCAAGGAAATTATAAGTTACATCCAGCTTCTTATTAGTATGCTTTCCTACTGCTTAGCAGCCAGAGGCAGATACAGCAAGACACAGAATTCCTGTTGATGGTGCCAAACTTGCTCCAATACAGGTCACAGTATTATAAGCAAAATATTAAGTGCTTAGTTGAAAATTGGTAGAAATAAACTTTCAGGATTACTTACCTGGTTCTCTTCATGAGAAACCCTCATCTGCTCTTTAAGAACTGACATTCTGGCAGCTTCTTCTTTTCTCAAGACTCTTTCCTTTTTTAGCTCAGGACTCCAGAAAGTCTTGATGCTATTCATGGAAGATCCCAGCTTACTGTCCTTGATATCCAGTTCTTTTCTCAGAAGATCATTCTCTCTTTGTAGTTCCTTGAGCTGAGCCTGTAGATCTAGCATGGTACTATCCCTTACCTGTCTCAGCATAGAGGGAACTTGATGATGATGATGATGTGAAGATGTGGTCAGACCTCCATGCTGATCAGTATAAGAAAGGACATCTGTGTGAGAAAGTCCAGCTGAAGCAATATTTGGACTACTTCCCATGGCTGTGACTCGACCACCATACACAGCTCGATTTGTAGCCCTTCCAAGAGTCATTGTGCCCTTTGGGAAAGTAGTAGATGCTACACCTTCATGGTCACTAAGATACATCGGTCCAGATGTTGCATAGGCTGCATTAAGGGACTGGATGTTCTCCATTGATAGTGTCTTACCCGTTCCTCCACCTCCCCCGCTGCTTGTTCTCCTGTGGCCCAGACGAGGAGATCTTGGCAAACGAGGAGACCTGGAAGGACTGCCTTCCAAATTACTGATTGTTCTTGCACTTCCATACATTTTTCTACTACTGTGAGGTACTATTTAATAAGAAATTAGTAACACTGATGTTGGATATTAAACCTATAATTCCAGATAATAATGCTGGCAAACGGTTTCACTGCATTCTTCAAGAAGGCAAAAACTGATGAAGATCTGGAAAAAAAATAATTAAAGTTGAATAAAGTAACAAATTAAATATAAAGTAACTTTACAATGATGAAAGTGGATCAGAAAACACAGCATACATCAACTGGTCTTGGAATAATTATTTTTAAAGTAAGAATAATACTGTATTTTACATTTAGGATTATGACCTGTGAATTTCCATATTTAATGGAATTTCAAATGGAGAAACAACTGTTCATTTTTTTCTTGCTAGAAACTATTTTTGGCATTTTGACTTAGTAACACTGTGGACCAAATAGATCCCTAATGTAACTTCAGTCATTTAAATCAATTCATTTAAATCAATTATCACAATGAAATTACACCAGGGATGAAACTGTCTGATGTCTACACAAAAACAAACTGAAACCAGAGGTCAAGAATATATTTTCAAAACACAACATATCTGTTTTCCTGTAATAACATTGGCTGAATAAATACCACAATGGTGGGGACATGATGGAGGCCACGAGAGGGGAGGTTAAATAAAACACAGTACTTCTGATAGCTCTGCTTTAGCGGTAGAAACAGATATTGTTAAGCTAAATTTTAAGGTTTACAATAAGACAGTTAATTTCAGAGAATAATTGTCTTCAGAACAATTAGAAATTATTAGAAAGATGACTGGTACTATAAATCACAGACTTGTTGGTATTTGTCGTTTGCCTACTTCAAGGAAAAAAGTATATTTTAAACAGTTAATTCTTTCCTCAAGTAAAGGAGGGACTGTCAAATCTCCTTTTCTGCATTTGGTGTCATAATGGTATTTCTGTCGCAAGCTTACTTTTGTAATTGATTTAAATAATCAGAACAGTTAAAGTTACTGGGAATTTCATAACCAGTAAAAATAAACATAATAATAAAGAATCTGATAATACCAGGAACATCTGATCCACATTTATCACCCATAACTATGAGCCTTCACTGATTTTTTTTAAACAACAAACAAGCATTCCAAGCAATCTGTGAAATTAAGTAACTTGGCTGCGATAACTAAACTAGATCTAAAATAATTTCTTAAAGAGGTGATTAGTTCAGAGCAGCAGCAGCAAGTCTAAGTCACTTAAATCCAGTGATTTTTAAGCATTTCCCCAGGACATTACAACTACATACAGGTACCCTATTCCAATTCTATAATGTTCATTCTACATTTGTGTTGAGGGTTGTTGTTGTTTTTTTGGTTGGGGGGGGGGAGAAGAGAGAGAGGGAATGTAAATATTCTTAAACCAAGAATAAAGCTAGTATATTAAGTCATTGCCCCTGTGTTTGAACCATTTTAGAAAAACAATTATGGACATTAGTGCAAACAAAGACAAAAACAAGTCCCCACTATACTAGAGAAATGTACCATTGCAAACCATTCTAATCCCCAAGATTTGTAAACCATCCATGACCTCATACAAGTGTGTTCCAACTGGTTTACATGGATTCTAAAAACTGTTGGGAGTAGACTAGGTTTTCAATAGGTCTAAGAATCAGTATAGTGTAAACCACTTCAGTCTGAGCTGTTTCATTGCAAGCATGGATTTGGACACGCTAAAATGTTTCTTCTTGGTCCCCTCGGTACTATTCTGCAGCACATCAGTGCCCTTTCAAAATATTCCAGAATCCACTTTTTATGCGAATTGGCCCTGGAATTATAGGACTAGTACCTGGAGGGCATTGCAATGGAAATGGTTTAAAATAGTGATTGTGGATATGGGGCAAAAATGCAAGGTTCTGATGTCCTTCAAAGTGGCTAAAATGAACATACCGAACGGTTTGTGCTGAAACTGTTTCTATCCAAGCAGTCCAATTTCAAATAGTTCCCTTCTCTAGTGCAAATACAGCCCTAGGCAAACTGGATCAACCAGTGCTAACAAAACATTGTTTTGTATTAACCAGCTTAACGAGAGTCACTGTTTCCTGTTGGTTTGTATTTTCCCGAGCAGGTGAGAGGCAGTTCTGTTGTCCCAAAATACAGATGTTTCTTCCATGTAGAAATAAGCCTCAATTTTGCAGGATGCCACACAGGCGCATCCATTCTGACAAGTACTGGAATTTTGACTATTTAAGCAGAAATAGTGAATGTGAAATTAGACTCTAGCAACGCTCTCCTGCTGAAGTATACAAGTAAATTCCAATGAAGTCAATGGGAACTACTCAGCCTTTAGAGTAATGCTGAACCATTTTAATCATATAGGCCAAAGCCTTGCCCAAGGAATTGAGCCCTGAAGCCGTTTGGAGTCTTATTGGAATTCTACTGCAATGGAGGCAGATTCAAATCCTAGAAGAGCCAGATGCAGTTTCCCTATCTAAGTTCTTACGACAGTGTCCATTATCCTAGTATTTGGGTGCCCAAACATACCCCCAGTAAAGAGACAAAATCTATGTCTTGCCAGCTCCAGCTGACACGTGGTATATAACAATTGATTCACTAGGGTACACAATATTTCCGACATCTCAGTTCCAAAACAATCAGGGAGTGAAGTTAAGGTCACTGAAGCAGAGAACACACAGCACCTCATGACTGTTGGGGTCGGGACGATTTGATCCTCTCATATAATTCCCCAATCACCCTCTCACCAATTTTTTTTAATATAGTCAGAAATCCCTGATGATCTCTACTTCCCCACAACAGCACAATAGGTATAGAGTGAGGATCCATACATAACAACTCAAAGATCATGCAGCTAATTTATATGTGCTTCCCACCACCAAGAGCAACTCCTTTCCACACTGATAAACAGTTGGCACAGTGATAAGCAAGGAGATGCAGTGGTAATGGACTACCAAAATCCTTAGTATTATTTAAACTGAGCTCACTTAAAAGCTTCAGATGTGGGAGGCTGAGGTATTGGTGAGGTTGTGTCTCAGAGAAACATAGGACTCACCTACAGTATATTAGGACCATGTCTGGTATTCTAATGCCACCATTTCTACCACAATTTGGTATGGGTATGATTTACATTGGCTCCTTTAATTCATTTATTAAGTTACTTAGCCCCCCTTTTTTAGCTGTAGTCTGTTCAATTCCTTCCCTCTCCAGCATGTGTGAAGTCTGTAAGATTAATGACTGTAAGAGAGCAATAATTTGGGTCTTGTTCAACAATGATTTTTTTTCATCAATCCCTATTGCTGAGCTTGTAGAAAGAGGCCTTGCTTTTCCCCAGACTTCTCCTTTACTGTGTGCTTTTGTGATATGTTCACATTTCTGTTTTAATAATGTAACCTATATGTGAAAGTTCTGAAAACAAGAAAAAAAAGTGAGGAAACAGCAACTGAAAAATTACTTAAGAAACATCTGCAGTTCATGTGTATTTTAATTTGCAATCCATTGCACATCTTATTTTGAATTATACAGATCTGCATGCAAAATGTAGCCAGTGCGAAATACAGCATACAAACGTGTTTCCTTATGTGGGAGTACATCAATTAATTGTGGGCTAATCCTGTTCCTTTCTGTATGGCTGTGAAAGAGTCCCAGATGCAGTAGAAGCAGTTTAGAATTGCTGCAAGGAGGAGACGAGAAAGGTTTTGAGGGCACCTACACAGAGGGTCCTCCTTCCTGAAATCCATACAAGCTAGCTCCACAGGGATTTCCTGCGTCCCCCAGGTATCAGAATTCAGGGGCCAGCATGGAGCCCAGGAGCCGCAGGGGACACTTCCCTCAGGGCCACAGTAGCAGCCAGCCCCACCGCTTATAGACTCTACTGGCATTTAACCCAGTTAGTGAGCTTGGGCTGAGGAAGAGGCACATGCCGAGGATTCAGACCCTGGAAATTAAATGCCATTTACAATGTTTCTCTTGAATAAATGCTATCAGCACAAAATGTAATTCATTTAGAAGCAAACACTGCTGCCCCCATCCCTCAAGCATGGAGTGTCCTAAACCAGAGCAAAACCAGGTGGTTCCAGGGCATAGAGGCTGGAGAGTAAATCAAAGAGAGATCATGCCAATGATAAGCATCTCCTGCATATCACCCTAGAAGGGGCTTTAGGAACAAAGTCAGGGGATCCACAACCACATGCATCCACCAGCCACTGAAGCTACAGAGGTTGCAGTAGCAAGCCTAGAGCAGCTCCAATACAGCTATGTGGACTGGCTTGGGAGGACTGCATTCTTCCCCATCCCCACCCAAACTTTTCTGTGGCCCCTCTTCCTCCCAAGCTCATTTACTCAGGCCTGGGACAGAGTGTAGGATTTGGTCCATATTAGATATGGATCAGGGTCATATTTTCTTTAAACAGTTACTTTCCATTTTTTAAAAATCCAATCATTTCAATGTAGTGGCACTAGACATATTAAAAACTGCACATTTATTGTCTCAACAATTTATTTTAATAGCTTTTAAATGTGTATTTTATATTAATTTCTAAAGCTACCTGTTATTATTTTAATATCAAATATTGTTTAATGTAAAAAAAGGATTTGGGGCCTCTTAAGAACACATGCTCAGAAAGAAAATTATTGGGTATTTTCTGTTCGGGTCTCCCCTGAAGATCTGTGAGAATAGGGAATAGTCTATTTTAGGAAGAAAGTACTTCTTGATGGCTGTTCTAAATTAGGTTTCATTTATTTTCAAGATTTCTGCCTCATCTCATCATCTGTATTCTGCTGACAATAATATCATGGACTCACATGATCTACATAAGTCTCACACACTGGATTTTATTTGAATTTTACTTTCTATTTTTATTTAGACTAAAAACACAAGCTTTTAATTCTAGTACTGCCTTACTACTATATTTCCAAGTGCACTAATATTCTTGTGGTACACATTATACAGTTTTCTTGCAAGAATATAATCTTCACTAAGGTCTGAGGTTTGTTTTATATTCATTATTATATCTTCATCCTGTTTACTTATTTCTACACAGAACCATTAATTTTGTTAAGATCCTGTTTGGATTTTGCTAGCGCTAAATCACTTCCACTGAATTAAAAGCTTGTGAGAAATTTTCTACATTGTACCTGTCTATATTTTTATCTCCTAATGAATCACAAG